AAAAAAAATATCAGTCTCTAAGTACTTTGATTTCTATAAGATAGGGTCTGTAAAGGGCTTGGTGAACCCCCAAATCATCAAAATAAAGTAAAGGAATATTTCATTTATAATAATTTTTATTATTTCCTTATACTTTCTTGAAGGAAATTTTGATAAAAACACATGGAATAAAACCAGATTTATTTTTCCTTATTATGAGGTGGCTTTTTATATGATTAAATCACATTTTGCTATCTTTTGTCTTTGTGTCAGTAGACATGGTCTAAAAAATTGCAAACACTTTTCTGGGATATAGGCAAAAGTAAACTGGCTAGGGATTCTGGCAAACTAGAGAGTGCTTGTTGCAATGGAAGACAAACCTGTCCTAAGTGGGCAGATCTTTTGAGTTTTCAAGTTGGAAAACTGGATTTTTATATGATGTCTCCCAAATTTTGTACACTGGCAACTAATGCATACTTTTAAAACATTGCTATGTATTGTTATATTGTAAATCAGAGAGCTGAACATAGGACACCTTAAGCCAAATTAATTTGGAGTCTTTTATTACGCTAGTGGGCTCAGAGGAATAATGCTTCCAGAGTCTGAGCGAAAACATGGAGTGAGCTTTCCCTTTTTATATTTTTTAATGTTTTTGTCTCCTAAATATGGGGCTTCCAGTCTCTTTTGCAAGTTTTCAAAAGAGCCCTATGTATGCTTAGCAGATATCTCGAAGGAAGCCTGTAGCCTTGAGTACAGATAACTAAAAGACACCTGGTATGAGAGCATGGGAGTATCAGCCCCTTACATTAGATGACTAGCCTGCATGGTCAGACAACGAAGCTTATCTTCCCTATTATTTAAGCAAGCATGAAGCATGTGTTTACAGAAGCTAAAAAGCAGTTAATTCACAGAACAAGGGACCATCTAAAAATAGCAGAGAATTTCAAACAGCAGTTTTACAAAATAGAGATTACTATGCTTCATTATGTCAAATTAAAATTTTATGCAGGCAAATTACCACCTGTGATATTTACATAAGATCAACAACAAGTATATATTTACATAAGAAAATAATAACAAGGAGATAAAGTAAAGAATCAACTTTTATTGTTAACAGCTGAAATTTGAAGACATCTCAAAACAAGTATTTTGGCCACATTCATATTGTATTGGTATTATGTCCATGGACAAATATAATACACTTATTAGTAGAAAAAAATGTTTTTCTACCCTTTATACTCTCGTTGAAATTTATTTCTAACAATACAGTACAGGATAGAGACCAAGATGGCGGCATAGGTAAACATCGGAGACTGCTGCCGCAAACAACCACTTCAAAAATACAACTAAAAGACGGAACGGACATCACCCAGAACCGCAGGAAGGCTGGCTGAGGAGAGACTCTTCAACTAGAAGGAAAAATAACAGCACACCGAGGCTCAGAGGAGGCGCAGTGTGGAAAATACTCAGGTGCGGAGGTGCGCGCGCAAAGCGGGCTGGTGGCTGAGAGCGCGGTTGTCGTTTTCGGTCAGGGGGGAGTCTCAGACTCTGAGCTCCAGATACGGGCGAATCGCTGGGGACTCGGACTCAAACGGGAGAAGCGGGAGTGTCTGGCATCAGTTGGAAGGCAGCTTTCCCTCCGAGGTTTGCAGCGGTTCCTGGGGTTCTGAGAAGCAGAGCCTCTGGGAACGGGACTGAGAGGGGCCATAACCGCTCCCTCCGCCCGCCCTGTTGAGCCCGCCCCGCCCAAGCCCTGCGCAGAGCCATTTGCCAGATCGCCTCAGGCAAAGGCTAGATTAGCACCTCCCCAGAGGACAGAAGTTTTCCGCGGCAGACACAGCTGATTCACACAGCCAGTCGGCCTGGTGGTCAAATCCCTCTAGTATTAACTACAACAATCAAGGCTCAACTAGAACAAGACTGCGCACAAAGACCACTAGGGGGTGCACCAAGAAAGCATAAAAAATGCGGAGACAAAAAAACATGACAGAAATGGAGGATATAGAGCTAAAAAACGCAATTTTGAGGGCTTGCAATAAACTTTTGGAGAGCTTCACGAAAACTAATGAGACCCTCGATGCTATGATAAAGAAACTAGAAATTAAGCATACATGCTCTGAAATAAAGAATATTACACCCAATAGCAGACCAGAGGAGCGCAAGAATCAAGTCAAAGATTTGAAATGCGAAGAAGCAAAAAACACCCAACCGGAAAAGCAAAATGAAAAAAGAATCCGAAAATACTAAGATAGTGTAAGGAGCCTCTGGGACAGCTTCAAGCGTACCAACATCCGAATTATAGGGGTGCCAGAAGAAGAGAGAGGGCAAGATATTGAAAACCTATTTGAAGAAATAATGACAGAAAACTTCCCCTACTTGGTGAAAGAAATAGACTTCCAAGTCCAGGAAGCGCAGAGAACCCCAAACAAAAGGAATCCAAAGAGGACCACACCAAGACACATCATAATTAAAATGCCAAGAGCAAAAGACAAAGAGAGAATCTTAAAAGCAGCAAGAGAAAAAAAGTCAGTTACCTATAAGGGAGTACCCATACGACTGTCAGCTGATTTCTCAACAGAAACTTTGCAGGCCAGAAGGGAGTGGCAAGAAATATTCAAAGTGATGAATAGCAAGAACCTACAACCAAGATTACTTTATCCAGCAAAGCTATCATTCAGAATTGAAGGTCAGATAAAGAGCTTCACAGATAAGGAAAAGCTAAAGGAGTTCATCACCACCAAACCAGTATTATATGAAATGCTGAAAGGTATCCTTTAAGAAGAGGAAGAAGAAGAAAAAGGTAAAGATACAAATTATGAACAACAAATACACATCTATCAACAAGTGAATCTAAAAATCAAGTGAATAAATAATCGGATGAACAGAATAAACTGGTGAATATAATAGAATCAGGGCATAGAAAGGGAGTGGACTGACTATTCTCGGTGGGGAAAGGGGTGTAAGGGGTGCGGGAAGAGACTGGACAAAAATCGTACACCTATGGATGAGGACAGTGGGAGGTAAGGGCAGAGGGTGGGGTGGGAACCAGGTGGAGGGGAGCTTTGGGGGGAAAAAAGAGGAACAAATGTAATAATCTGAACAATAAAGATTTAATTTAAAAGAAAAATTAAAAAAAATAAAACTACCTCAAAATAAAAAAATAAAATTCAATTTCAATTAATCTCTGACCCAGTAATTCCACTTCTAGGACCCTCCCCCAAATGATTGGAGAGCTGTACAAATGCATATGTTCAAAGATGTTTATTGAAGCAATGTTTATGAAGACAACCTAAAATTCCCACAATAGAGACAGGCTTAAATAAAGTATGGAAAAATCATACATAACATTTTACAGCTGTTCAAAATCATGTTTTTGCATAATACTCAATGTTATGGGAAAATACTTAAGTCATAGAGCTCAAGGTTTAAAAAAACACACACCAAGATATAATGATATTGAGCAGAATTCCAAAACTTCAAATACAAATACATATAGGAACATATATACAGATACCACAAATAAAAAAATGACTAAAAGAAAAATATATAAATTTTAACACCTGTTATTTTCATGCAATGGAATTATGAGAGATTTTATTTTCTCATTTAAAATTTTCTGTAATTTCCAATTTTCTCAAAATTATCAGGTATTACATTTACATCTAGAAAAGTAATAAATAAGTGTTAATAACAGTAATAATAATATAAAAGTGAGATCCAAGGGGTTCCAAAAGATACAAACATAAATACTAAATGTCCTGGTTTTGTTTTATAAATGGCTAAATCTTCCAGCTAAAAAGTTATTATTTCCAGTAGAAGTAGTACTTGTATTTTTTCCTTGACTGGATTTCGATTGAGGATCCATTGCAACATATTTGATTTGGAAACCTCCTGCGGTTACTGAAGCATCACTTAGAAACTTTAAGGTCATGACATTTCCTGGGGAGGAAGAGGATGCAAAAGAACAAAGATGTTACTCTCAAATGGCACGTTTCAGGACTTCCTTTTGACTCTCCCTCTCTTTTTAAAAATAGAATTCTCATCTCCCAACTACCTCCTACAGCTCATATGATGTCTTCTTTTAACTTTCTATTAACATAAAATATATCCTCAAGAAAAAAAATAGAGAGAAACAGAAGGTTTAATACTTTACCAATCCTAGGATAATTGCAACAGAGTAATGGATTAATAAGTTTTAAGCATTATTCATTCAAGAATTGAACAAGTAGTTCCATGTCTTGCAATAATGACGAATAAATGAGCATTGTGGCATACTGCAAGGCTAGGGCGTGGGAATAATTTAGGTAGTAGTATCTGAGCTTAAGAACTGTTGTTTTTAGTTGCATAGTATTGAGATAATTTTATGACTTGGAGGAAAAATTGAGCATGCAAAATGTCAAATACTAATGCTGGTGATTAAATTAAAAATGATATCTAAGAAAATAAAAGTTCTTAGTCAGAATATATGAGTTTGGGTTAATAGCAGTGATATTACTTAATGAGATACATTTATGCTACTATAAGGACATTTCTTGAGGTACATTTCGTGGAACAAAGTCACACAAAATAATTTGCAGGAGAAAAAAGATTTGGAAAAGGTTATCTACCATAGCTAGCCATTTGAGGTTTGCTATGCATAATTAACATATTAAAAAGTCTCTGACATCTTCAAATAAAGAAACCTGCTTAACATTATTTAACTCAATGTTACCCAAATTTACCTGACCTAAGAGTCCTTTCTCATGTAACACCTATTAAAAACATTTCACAGTACTGTGTTCTTTACAAATCTCTTTGGGAAATGCTATACTAAGATAAAAATGCAATAAATAAGGTAAAAATTTTTCAGTGATAGAAGGTATTTTTAACAACTTTATAAATTACTTTCATTCTTTATCAATGAAAAATCTTGGCCTTTTATTACATTTTATGGAGATCATAAGCCATGGCAGTATTCATGGATTTGCAGATTCAAGACTATCTCAGACTGTATTTCCCACAAATAACAAGAGTCTACACGTTTTCAGTGCAAGGAGTTGGCACAGATCTTTCTTTAGGTATAAATAAATACTTGGAATATACAAGCCAGCGAGCAGGTCTCTCAACTTTAAAAAAGTAAACAGTAATGACCCCTGGGTCCTTCACTTTCAATGACACTGAGAGAAAACAAATCATAGTTTTGCTCCTTAATTTAGAGCCATTACCTGTACTAATGATGTCTTCTGGAAGCTCATCTCCACAGTATCTGAAAAGGAATTTTAAAGAGAATTCACACGAATGAACATTATACAGCTATTGCAATGAGCTCTTACTGATAACTAAAGTGCTTTATTTCCCCCAAGTAATGGCTTATTTTCCTATTATTTTATGATGATTTGTTGCTTTTTTTAAAATTTGAATTTGTAAGGGAGAACAATGTACATTATTTGAAGTAAACTTCTCAAACTATTAATGAGATTCTTAAGAAAAGATATGTGGCATTTCTACTCTGTGCACCTACAAAACTATTTGTGTAGTAGACAATTTGAATCTTCTTGAAAAAATTAAAAATTTGTTTCTGATTAATCTCATAAAGTTTTCTTCACAATTAAAAGTCAATGGGTGTATAGTTGGTAGTATTATATTTTGAATTCTAGTGTAGACAGATTTAAAGGTGGGAAAATTACTTGGACCTTATAGATATAAGAGGGTTTCATTTTTATATGAATCATATCTTGAAAGAAACTCCCTTGCACATTATATAAACGTTGAGTTTTGTCAGTGAAATTTATTCTAGAGGGGGAGAGGGAGGTGTAATATAAAGGTAAATTACACAATATAAATTTATAGCCTGTTGAAGACATTTAAAAAATAGTATATATATTTTTATATATAGTCATGGATAATGGAGAATTGATATTCTATTGATAATGGATAGTCTAAAATACACATTACTAAATGGTGACCTGAATATATAAAACACCTAATTGCACACTCTTTAAATTGAAATATTTTGTAAGTCTCTGAAAATGTAGACTGCATTAAAGATGTAAGGAGAGAACAGAAAAATATCATGTCCCAGCATGTTGAAGACCAAGGGAGAAAGAAATATTGCGGAAGAGAGCACTTGTCTTTTATGGCAAAGAAAACTATTTTTAAGAAGCTGCCCTTTGTAGGTTTAGCTAACTTGTATGAAAGCAGGGGCTAGGCTTTGCTTATTTACCGTATACCCACAATACTTAGCCCATTGCTTTGTACACAGAAGTAAGGCACCCATTACTGAATTTATAATTATTTTTAAAGGTTGACAGAAATTAGAAGACTTAAAAACCCCAACAAATTTCTCATCTCACATCTTTCTCCCTCATGTCGTTAGTCAATCTTGAGGTCTTCATAAATAGACTATTTAAATAATTGTTACAACTTAACAATAATCAAAAGGCAGCTATCACTATTTTAATAATAAGTAACAACTGACTATGACTTAACATGCCAAGAAAAACCTTTGTTAAAAAGGGTATGGTGTTGTAGGAGTGTAGAAACACTGGAAAATCAATATTGTAGGTACAGTTGGGGAGAAATGAAAGAAACATCAAACACAATATCGAATGTTCCTTTAACTTTCTGTATGGGAAAACAACACGTACCTCCCCACAAAGCCATGGATATCGTCGTAACTGTCATATATTTCAACATAGTCAGCCAAGCAAGATGGGTCATCTTCAAGGTCAAAGTCCAAAAACTTCAGGTGAATACGCTGGCCATACTTGAGTCTAATGTGCCAGTAGCAGATTTGGTTATCATCATACTCATTTGGGTAGCCTGGAGATTTAAAAATTCTCTTTGGATCTGTAAAGATTCCACCACATTCT